GTGCTAACTACTATAAATATAAAAATTTTTTATGACTTAACATTATATCAATCTGCATTGTTTTACCCCACTCTTAAAAGTTGCTATACTTCCTAACGACTTCAGGTCAATTGGGAGAGCATTCCAAGTCTCGGCACCTCTGTAGGCCAATGATTTTTTCATAGCATTAGCTTTATCTATAATGCTCAAAAATAATATGCCATGCGCAGGGAGGCATCGCCCTTTTTCCTAAGGGGGGCAAAGGTGCCCTTTTTTATTTTAAATTACGAATAAAAAGACGGGTTTTTTACGGGGAAATGTACATCACTTTTTCTTGTAGTCGTCGATTGGACTAAGAAATCGCTAATTCTGGTGGTTTACTACAACATTTCGGACAAATATTTTCGTCGGGGGAAGGAAACTCAAAATTTATGAGCCCGTTGAAAAGTGCCCCATCACGAAAATGTGTCCACCTTGGCCTCGCGTTTTTCCGGCGTCCCTGGACTCACAAGTGTACAAAATCACATAATTATATACAACAATATAACATTTCTCTAACAATTTTGTCACGAATATTACTTTTTATTGGGGGCCACTCTTTTGTCCATGAACCCCTGTAGTTTTCTGAAATCGGAAAATATACGATTAAGATTAAATTTTTTGTAGAATTTTTATCTGTCAGAAGATAATCGTGATACTAATTTAATAAAACAATATTTTAAGTACTGTTTAATAAACGAGCAGGAGTGTTTTATTAGGTTTAAAGACACGAGCGCGCAGCGCGAGTGGCTTTAGACCTAATAAAACACGACCTGCGAGTTTATTAAACGGCTTCAAACACGACTACAAATTCAATAGATATATTGCCTTATTAGTATTCTTTATATAAAGAATACTAATGAGGACACGACAACAATAGATACTGCCTTATTTGTATTCTTTATATAAAGAATACTAATTAGGAGTGTTTTATCAGGTTTAAAGCCACTGCACGTGACATATTATGGTTGACATGATTTGCCAATAAGCTTATGAATTATTAATGAGTGTTTGAAGTGTAATTAATGGCTCACAATTAAATTCGTCGCCATGGCAACATCGGCGTTTTCATTAGTCGCTGACACTCGCCGATGCCGACTCTGTTTAACCGCCTGTCGCAATTCATCCGCAACTATCGCAAGAAATAAAAAAAAATTGTTTTGTTGCGACAGTCGGCAGTATTCGCAGACACTGCGATAATAAAACAAATGAAAACATTCGCGACTAATGAAAACCAGCCTTATAACGGATACTTTCACTTATTAAATATGAAGAAATTAAAATCCTTGTTGGTTGGTTGTCCACATTTATTTTGGAAACGTTTTCTTTTGGTAACATTTTTTGTATGAACAAATATTAATACCGCAGATCCTAACAACTGACACGTGATTATTCTATGTTATTGATACACTACGTATTTAAAAAACCCAGTAGAGAACCCTTTATATAGCCAGTAAATACCTAATTATCGTAATAATATAATATGACATTATATATTATTAAAATTAATATTGTATAGTAATTATCGTATTTTGTGGATGGCTTCCTTGAATAAAGTAATCGTTAAATGTTTAGTCGCTTTAAACAGACTGTTCATAAATTGGCGTGTAATGACAGGCATGGGGATAATACTATTAGCTAAATGATGAAAATTCATTGAAATTGTAGTTGGACTCGCATGAACTTCCACAAATGCTTCAGCCATTTTTTTATGCACAACTTATTATGTGTAGCTTAATAACATTTAGATTTGTTACATATTCATTTAAGATTTCGTCTTGCTTCCTATATATAGTATAGATTTAAACAGCTGGTCCCTCTTATTTGGTCTGTTCCATTAACTGCCACTACGTTAGAGTGTGCTGGTCTGGAAGCATTGGGTCGTACACTGAAGAATGTAATATCCCCAAATCCACATCTAAATGTTTGGATAAAAATTACTATTAAAACAGTAAGTATCATTTCATGATCGAAAAAGCGGTGTACTGTGTGATGGTTTGTACTTTACAGTAACAAAATCTGACAATCGATTTGATTTAGCATGAACGAGTCGAGTGTGAGAGGACCGAATAGACTGTTTGAATATCGTTCTTCGGTTTCCGATTCATACTTCAATCTCAATACTTAAGATGCAATAGTCGCAAACTATACTGAAAGGAACACACCATATTTAGATTTTTTAATTTTTAAAACCCGTGGGTATCTAATCCTAATATGCTTAAGCGTTTTCCAGAAAAGGCAAAACACGAGTAAGATCCATCCCTCTCAGGATCTTGAGTTCTTCCTACGCTATGTGTGAGGACACAATCTTGCAACAATGGATGATATTATCTCGTATTTTCTCTTCATTACTTATATTGTTGTGGTCGCCTAGCAACGCACCACGTGTACTCAGCCCCAGCTGCATGGTGGGTGGAGTTCTTCAAGTACAGACGCGTTTCTGAGCACCACTTGTTTGGAAAGGGTAATATTTCATTCACTTCGTAAATATTGCCGAGGGCTGTGTTACTCAAAAATCGTCGTATACCTGTCTCAGGTCTGCACAAATTCAAAAATCGCAAATCCTCATCAAAATTTCAAAAGTTCTTACAAAGTCATAAAAATTCCCTTCACTAAGTACTTTAATTTAATTAAAAATTCATATGAAAAAGTGAGAAGAAATCCTTTGGGTAAAGACTGATAATATACTTTTGAGGGGGGGGGGAGGTTATCGTGAAGTTTTCGTGGATGAATAATAACAGAAACTGTCTGAGCTGTAGAACGTTTATTTAAGGCACAGTTCAGCCTTTTGAATGACGGTTTTTAAGGACCATTAACAACCCTTTTAATTGAAAAAACTAACTAGGAATATCAATTAAGCATAATTCAAGATCAGTTATTTCAATGTTAACAAATATGAAAAACATAATGTTAAAAACATTGAGTTCACTGATTTTGAGTTTATGCTTAATTGATTTTCCTGGTTAGTTTTTTTTTTTTTCAATTAAAAGGGTTGTAACGCGCCTTAAAAACCATCATTCAAAAGGCTGAACTGTGCCTTTAACTATTTAACTAATTAAATCTTGTCGTGTAATAATCTATACACAAAAAGGCGCACAAGAAGGCGGTTGATTATTCGAAACACCGAGTCATCTGTGTTGAACAGAATAGATCAGACAAGTCGATTAATTTTCTACCCCCATCCACATACTGAGATAGGTTCATAGACACAGTCCTTATAGTCTTTTCCAATTGGCCTTGATCTTTCTTGCATGTCCATTAAAAAAATACTAAAAATGTTGAGAGAGCTTAAATCAAAGAGCAAGTATAAAGAAATCAGTTAACATTAAAACTTTCTGCTATACTTTACATACGAAGTGGTCGTTTATAGATATATTGGCATGACCGCGTCTACGAGTTATTTCAACTCCATATCCAAGTCTGATTTACACTGAATCAATTTTTGCTATTCAAAATCAGGTCATGCATGTATGAATGTTTTCCCCTACTAAATTGCCTGTGTACTGATACCATCGACTGCTATACTAACGTGGCCGTGGGTATTAGATAGTATTTAATTAAAACATCTTAAATTGCTGACGTCAGCATAAAATCCGTTAACACACATTTAGTCATATACTGATGAATAAGTGAATAATAACTATCATGGATGATGTATAAACTATATACAACTTTAGATACTGAAATTTCTGGATTGATAATAATGCGTAGTTTATATTTGACCAAACATTTACTTCGATGAAGACAATATATAAATTGTATACCTGCTAATTACACAATATCATTGAGTATAGTAATGAGTGGAAAACGTATCAATATATATTTACACCGCTCTTTTTCAGCTTTGTTAGAAATAGTGTAATGACTAATGTATTTCAGCTGGCCCTAAATCTTGTTACATATGTTTACATGCGCTGAAGTTTGATGGACGTTTGAAAATGGCGTGCTTCATGTATGATGAAAATGGCGTGCGTTCATGTATGATGAAGCTGGCATGGTGATTAAAAAAGGCGTCATCTTTTCACTTAAATCTCGTCTTTAGTATTTATGTTTACTTCATTAATCTAGAGTTGACAGAATGTCTCGGTGTATTCTTTTTCTTTTATTAATGACTCCCCTAATGTTTAAACATCCTATTCAAACTTTTAATCTTTTATCTGCGGCCTTAATTCCTATGCAAACTTGCCGAAATCCCTGTATCTTTTCAATATCTTTACTGGGATTAAAATCTTGTTAGGAACGCTTAATTTTCGTCATCCTACACTTGGGGTTTTTTGAAATAAAATTTGAAGCAAAAGTTTGGAGTTTTTATGCAAAAATTTAGCCAAAATACAATTCCTTGCATAAAAAGCGGCATTTCAAAGCTACCGGATTTTCACAAAGAAACCGCATGTATTCAGTCCCCGCGGTTTGTGGACGGTATCATTAGGCACCGCACAGGAAAATAACATAAAAAGACACGGAAAATTATAAAGAAGTTTGTTTCCTGGGTTGCCTCACTAAAAGACACACTAAACGTTTCGGTAACCTTTCTGTGTATACGTTTTGTGTCACTCTAAATATAGAAAACAATACAAGTACACAATATCTGAATGATTCATCATAAAATTTTAATATATAATAATATAAAGGCCGTAAACATTATCTTGGCGCCACAAGTTCGCATTATTATATCTATATGTTCTACAATCATATATACACAAATTGAAATTTAGAATCAAGAATTTAAATGTTTATATTGTCAATATTGCCCACAGCAACACAACTGTCATAATATTATATATACGTATATTATATATCTCATGCAACAATTATTGCGAAAATTAGATCTTTGATCTGTTTTTAAACTACATCATTCTAGAAAATAAAAATTATTTAACTCTTATCAATTTCACACTCTAAATTTATCGCGTGCAATTATATATAAAACATTTTGAAATTTTTGATACAAAACGAAACCGCTTTTCCCTACCAAATGGGTGATATATATACATCTTTAAAATTGTTACTGGTATTAATTATTATTCTAGGTATCCTAAATATTAGTAAAAAATTGTTACATTACACAAGTCCCGTATACATAGACTTATAACAACCCGTACAATTTAATCATAGTCACACCGAAAAAATGTCTTAGACTTAGGTTCTTATCTAATTTTTCATGGAAATTAAAAATTCTGGATTAAATATATCTCATTATATACGCGCTCGTAACCGATGCACGAATGAAAATTTAAACGATATTGCAAGCGCCGCTAAATTTTGAAGCATGAACTTCAAATCGACAATAGCTTGCATGCACGCATGCATATTTTGGTCAAATCATGTAGGTTGTCAAGGATTGTAACAGTAAACGAGTTTCGTGTCGGTCGTTACGGCAAGTAATATATACCTAATAGCGAAAATCATTAATAACCATTTCCAACATGAAATTAAACTACTTGAAATTTAACGGTTACGGTCGCGCGATTCTTGTTGCTAGGATCAAATCACACTATAAACACGCTAAGCCGCCGTGCTTGCATTCACGCCAGCAAATAACTTACTCACTATACATTTCTAATGCGTTCAGAATATGCGCTAAGTTGACTCCATGTTGAATTAAGTTCATACAATATATTGTAAGTTCCTCTTCTTTATTTGTCCAAACGGTTATTCTTGTTTTTCAGGCAATATTTGATCGTGTGTGATTCATCTCCACTTGCTTTGCACAATGGACAAGTGTAGGCTCGAAGTATCGGACACACGGTGTTGCCTTGAGAATCCTTCAGAACATGACTGGAGTACACCTTCTTGCTCTCACCGTTGTTACGACAAAACACACAAACATTTTGATTACGTCTTCCCACAGCAATCTTACTCACATCTGCCAATACAGGACGCCCTCGCAAAGTTGTATCTGCCCCGTCTCGTAGGATGATATTTCTTGATGGAGAGAACCCTGGTGCAAGTGAAGGGCTTGTTTGAGGTATGCCTGGACTTGGTTGTACACCGTCCAGTGATGTATCAAAATCACGTCCACCACTTGATGTATCGCTCCATATATCAGAATCCACGCTATCCAATCTATTACGTTCTGTCTGATAGCCTAACAGTTCTCCGTATCCACGCTGCCGTGTTCCCACTCCCACTTCACAGCTCTGAATTAAATGGATGAGGCCAAAATAATCTCGAAATAATCGAAACTCTGCTTCTTTGTCGTACTCGGAAATGTTCTTCCCTTCTGCAGCTTTCGTGTAGTTCAAGATCTCTTTATCGTAAAACAAAGTCAACATTTCATCACCCATCCTAACTCCGTCCCTCGATGCTAAATGATTTGCTTCCAAGTGATGTATATTTATAGATCCACAATTTTTGCAGCTGCAAGATACCGCAGATTGGCAAAAGCAAGTGTTTCGTGTATTCGTACTATACTATATGGTCCGCAGTGCAGTTTTGGCGCCGTTTCTCGTCAACTGTCGTGTGTCACCGCGTGCTATGTTTACCGTGCTCGGCTTTGTCCTCAACTACCGCGTTGAGCAATCAGCATATAAAATGACCGCGTTTTCAAATGCATTTTAAATTATTGAGCACGACACAAAAGGACATGTGGCCTCTTTGTTAGTGTACATCATACTGTCCTCTCAACCAATCAGAGAAGAGTTAATTAAGTTGCACGCGCGCCATGACGATAGCGTTTAACGCATCAATTGTCACAGACACGGGGGCCTTATTAAAATTTTACACACAAATTTAGCTGAAAATATTTGCAAAACGTAGATTTTTTTCACTGTTTTTTTTTTCAATGCAAATGTGCTACGCCTAGAGCTTTGATGCACATCCAAAAGGGAAAATTTCTTATTTATTCTACATTGATTTATTCTCTATGTTGGGTATTTACTGTGTCTTGAGTACTTTGTGTATTCCTGCGTTATATTTTTGCATCCGATATTTTTTTGCAGTTTTTTAAGCACTTGAGAGAATACATCGGTGATTCGTCAGTTTTCTCTCATGTGTTAGAGCTTGATGCATGTTATCTTGCTTTATGTATTGTCGTCTGGAATCTAGATATCCTTGCCTGTATTATTTCCTGTTTTCAGCGGAGATTCGTTAACTTTATATTAATCCTTGTATTTTAGTTTCATGATGAAAAGATGAAAATGTAAATCTTCAATGTACAAAATTTTTAATGTGCACTATTTTGTCAAAACTTATTCTATTGCAATTATTCTATTGTATTGTGTTAAGGCAAACGGTGTGGCTGCAAATATGTGGCAACTTGCACCGGGTGGCGTATAATTGCTAGGAATATTCAAACACTTGTGATATCCCTACTTAAAACACTCGGTTGTTAGGAAATTATAACACGACTGTCGCCACTTGGCCGATCACGCGTTGTACATTTGGGTCATGTCGACCTGTTCTTTCATAATGTTCGACCCCATATCATGACGTAACTTCCTTGGCAACGTTGGTATGGCATTGACCTTGTGTTCAGTGACAGTGCGAATGTTGACTTTGATATATGCATGCGTGCATTCATTCGGCATAGTAAAACTTCAGCTTTATAGCCCAAATTTCTCCTATACATGCATGTATGTATGCAGTGATGTTACATGGAATACTTAACTACCCTTGTTTTGTCTTACATGTGGACGCCACCTGCTAGCTGGCCCCAGCTGTCCGTCTTATCAATTTGTAAGGATATAATAACAACTGTGTTAGAAACACTCAGATCATACGATTCTTAAACATTTATGCTAATTTCGTTTTGTAAATAACATGCTTAATAAAGCAAGTTCTGATTCGCTAATTCTAAAATGTTCATCATCAATATTGAAGACTGGGAAAACACAGTCACAGAGTTCATACTGACATATAATAAGCTTTTGGGTGGGAACTACATGAAAAAGACTAAAAATCTTGACGTTTCGAGCCATGGGTCATTGATTGGGGTGATACTACGGTGGCGGGAAGACACGTGTGTAGTTCGAAATGTCGTTCGAAATGTTTTTAATTTTCAAGCAGTTCAGACAAACTACAGCTGGTTATTGTACAGTACTGCCTACATTGGCCCCTTATTGTGAATTTACACTCACGGGGGTAGTGACAGCAACTGTTCCATTTTTATGACCAATTGTACTGTATACTGTGCATGTAGAATGCATTTATCATGTAGGGGTTATCACGGGGGTAGTGACAGCGACTGTTTCATTTTTATGACCATTGTACTGCAATGTACTGTACTGTAGAGTGCTTTGTACTGTACTCTCTCTCTCTCTGTACACTCTATTCTTGCTGACTGGACCTTGCATGCAAATCGACCTTACGGTCATGGGCGATTATGAGACTTTATTCATGTCAAATCTGATTCTATATAGCCATGCCTGTTTCCGTCAGAAATATTGGTTTGGCTAAAACAAAGAGCCTGTAGTTACAACTGTTGTAGTCAAAACAACTGAAGAATGGAGTCACTGATGAAGGCGCAAAATTAAATATAGCTAAATGACCAACTTAATTAAACTAAACAAAAGTTTTTTTTGTTTTACTAAGATCTGACGTTAAACAAATATATACATTCGTTAGTAAAATACAAACTATACGAAACATGCAGGGATATACGAGATATTCTAATTAAATCAACCCTTCTGAATTGTCGTTATATAGATACGACTTTATAGAGCTCCATGCACTGTGCGATTCAGTTGTTCTCTGCTTGATGCAATTGTGATGTGTTGGGGTGAAATTTCCAGTATGATTCAATAATTAGTTGGCTGGAAAAAAGGTGAAACCAAAAATGGCAGGCCATTTTAATCTTTAGTTGCGAAATTCTAAGGGCTCTAAGTTAATGGTAACGACCTCACGGATCGAAAATGTCTAATAGCTCAGCATCTTTGGGCTTTATTTCAGCCGCACGTTTCAAATATTTATTGAACTTACTGCCTTGGCTTGAATCAAAATAACGTTTATAGGTTTCGTATATATTCACTAATTGAAAACGTGATTGACATTATTAATAGTATCCATTTTTCTCCGAAAACAATTTTTAGTAAGACGATTCATATATGCATTATGAACATAAATATAGTTTGTAGAAATTGAAGGCGGTAATGATTATCTTATAATGAAACAGCATTTCATGAAATATCAAACTGACCAGCATTTCCACTGAACCAAATCCTACTCAATCACAATGTCATAACATCCACATGATCATATTGGATGCACAATTAATTGCTATGCAACAAGTTGTACTCTGTAATCAACTATATTTAATCATTTTGTTGGATTGTCGCGAAAGCGCTATAAATACCCATGCAGTTATAATACATCGTGACATGTCTACATTTAGTGAATTTATCATGATGAAATTACCCCCTCACAATAATGAAATATTCGTTTGATATGCGACCCAAATTTCGTTTAAATGTTTGTTCCGTCACTCGGAAATTTTAAACTTTTTACGCCAACACTCCCACTTGAATCACTTAATCACAGATTCTGCTAGAGGTTCCAAAGTTATATACTTGAAAGGGTGGCCGCCGCACGCAAATACCAAATTCAAAAACACTCAAAAACTGGTGACAACATGCCGAGTTCAAAAACAGTGTGAACCGGTGACAGCATGCCCATATTTATGACACAATTGCCAAGTGTTTGCGGGTAGGTTTTTTCCTAATTTTCATGATAAACAATGGAGGACCATGACATGTTTAGGATTAGGGTTTTCCACTTTAATAATTATTCTAGCCATATAATAACATGTAGATTCCAGGTTTTTATTCCACTGTTAAAATATGTTTGAAAATGGCACATAAACATAGTATAATGGATTTAGAACACAATTGGAAGAATTATTTTTGGTTGCTCTATTTAAACATCGTTAGATATGAAGAGCCGGTTGCAAAAAAAGAGGAGGACATATACAAAACATGGATTATCCCCTGGTCCATGCATGGACAACCTTAATCACCTTATGGACTACTCCATGGATAAATTTAATTGCCGTTCTGGATCAGGTCCATGGACCAACGTAATCACCTTTTGGGCAATTGGGCTGGTCCACGGATTGTGCCACAACCGTCTTTCGAACGTCCAAGTGTCGATAAACATTTAGAACTAAGTAATATTGTTCATCTTAAAGTGGCACTCTCGTCAAAATTTTTATTTTCTTAAACGAAAATGCTCTTAAAACTGTATAGTAACTTGTTTTGAAGATTTTTGTTCCCATGCTTAGTTCTTGAGATATTCCATTTTGTTTGTAACCATGTGATGTCATCTACTCAATTACATATATAATGAGATAGCAGTAATTTTTGTCTATCTTTGCTTTTTTTATCAAAATCTTTCCAAAGATGCGGCGCGTTTGTTAATTTAACCTACATCATTAAACATACTGGGTTTTTTTAAACAAATCCATCAAAAATAGCAAAGATACACAACAATTAATGATATCTCATTATATATGTAATTGAGTAAATGACGTCACATGGTTACAAAAAAAATGAAATATCTCATGAACTAAGCATGGGAACAAATATCTTCAAAACAAGTTACCATACAGTTTTAAGAGCATTTTCGTTTAAGAAAATAAAAATTTTGACGAGAGTGCCACTTTAATCATTTTAATGCGAGTAGCAAATTTATATAAATAAATAAATAAATTTAGTCGTACCACTTTTTCAGACGCTTTCTAGGACAGTGCATCTCGATTATTAATTTTAACTCTATACCAGATATTGTTAAAGACTGTATAGTAATTTTAAATATTTTTCTAAACAGATATGAAATCCTAGAAGAGCACTGCATGGCAGCTCCCAGACCCAATTCACTCATAACAGCCGAAATGTTCTTGCACCATTATAATTTGATATTTTCTGTGTACATGCTAACAATTTACTTTCGTTAATGATATTTTTATAGTATGGTAATAAAAGGTGAAGAGCTATTTGTAATGGATAATAATAATTTATAATTATTATTATATATTATAGCCATTGTTTTCCAGCTTGTATTGCCTGCCAAGGTAATCTCATCTCTTTCCACTATAGTTTCGACCATTTATTTTTGCATATTTATTATCAACGCTGTCGTACTCGGATCGCTACATTCTACGTCCTGGTTTGTATACATTTTGCAGTTCCTTCTCACGGTACTTGGCCTTTCTTTTACTTTCCATTCCATGTTTCAGTCTTTCCTTTAGCTTTTTCCAACAGGATTTCCAGGGGCCTGTCATACTCTCTCCGTTCACTATACTGATCTCTTTTACGTTAAAAGTTACTTCCATTCCACATTTTGCTAACGTCCGTTATACTTAACGTTTCACGGGGGAATATTCGTTAGCACTGAAAATTTTTTTCAAAATCCTGCTATGCAAGTAGTTGAAAATAGTATGAAAATGGTATCTTAGTTGAAAATAGTGTGGAAATCCAATTTTCATACTATTTTCGCCGTCAAATATCTAACAAACGAGATCAAAGAAGTAGAACACTGCTCAACGACCTAAGATCAAACATGACAACAGAACAGATTCCAGCGAATGACATAGCCCAACAGAAAGAATCGTCAATTTGGCTGACGGAACTTTCATTGACTAACGAAGGGTACGTTCTCATATTGCGCGTGTGGAAAATCATTCACAGTGGACCATGCCGTATCCTGTTTGAAAGGTGGATTTGTTCACCGACGACATGACGAGATCCGTGACCTTTTGGCGACGGTGATTGATGAAGTGGCTTATGACGTATCTACAGAACCAGCCCTAACTCCTCTGACTGGTGAAGTACTACCGCCAAGCGCAAATTCAGGGGATGATGCCAGAGTTGATATAGCTGCAAGAGGTTTCTGGCAGAGATGTGAAAAGGCATTTTTTTATGTCAGGCGGTTTTTGACCCTTATGCCCCAACACATCGATGCCAGAGATCAACGGAAACGAAAGAGAGAAGAAGAGACAGTACAAACAGCGGATTGTCGAGGTCGAGCATGACTCTTTTACACCTGTAGTTTTCAGCGCGTATGGAGGTTGTGGGAGAGAGACTCATCATTTCCTGTCACTTTGGGGAGAGAAGATTGCCTCAAAGAAGAATTTGGCACACTCTATACTGATGAGCTGGCTAAGGACTATATGGACTATATAGATTTAGTTATGCAATCCCAAATTCCTTAGTATGAATTTCACTATTTTTTTCCCAGTGTAGTGCACCCTTTCTTCCATGCCACTTGAATCCACCTGCTCTCTTACATTGCCATGTAAGTTGCTACGCAGACTTTTGTTTCTTGGTATACGTCTTTCGACTGCTTAATCCTCTTCCTCCCACGTTCATGTATGATCTCTCGTCACTGATGTTTGACGGCAGCAATGTCTTTTTATAAATGTCGAGGGGAGTACTGGATCCAAATGTACTTAATTTCATGCTAAATTCGCTGGGTTTTCCCAGAACCTCATCAAGCCTCCACAGAGGATTGCACGCTCAGCGTACGAGATCGGGCAATACCACTGGCAGTGCATAAAAAAGTGTCGCCAAAAACATGGCGGTTCCCAAATGCCTATGGCAATTACCACTGGCCAACCGCGATCCTATGCTTCGGACGACGATTTCACCCCTGGTTTTTGCACTGTGCTTAAAGTTTATATAAAAAAAACATCAAGAAAAAATTTCGAGTTCTCGCATGACTTCATGATGCCACAATTCTTTATCAAGAAGAAACGTTTGTTTTTACCGGTAAGATGTATTAAACCCTTTTTCTGTGCCTCATTTGTACTAAATAAATACCGTTATTTAAAAGAAAAAATTGGATACAAAATTTACTAATATAATGACGCTGTTACAACAGCTGGTATTTTTTCTGCCTATCATTTTTCTTTGTGTTTTATTTTGCCATTTGAGGCAGGTTTTTAAATTTATAGTTTTTGTTTTCCTCTGGAGTCCTTATACAAAGATTCAACATCAATTTTCACATACAGTACGTATACTAACAGAAATGCCTGAAAATGATGGACAAATGGTGTCAAGTCCCAACTTAATATCTTAGGGTTTTTATCTTTTACTATATTGTCATAGGATGCCCAATATATGGTTGTAATTGGTTGTAAAGTCAAAAAGATCAAAACTGTTCCTAACAAGTGTCTCTGTAGGAGTAACCCCTGTATTCTAAAAGTACGCTCAAAGAGTGGACGTTCAATCGGAACTTCCCTTGAGTGTCAATGCTGTTTTTGAATAGCTGGAGGGTTAGTGTCGTACCTTACTATGTTACTACTCACCCTCCAATTATTCAAATTCAGCATTGACACCCAAGGGAAGCTCAGATCGAACCTCCACTATTTGAATGTGAGTGAGCTTTTAGAATACAGGCGTAAGTCTTGAATAAAAGTTTGCGAGGCTCACACTACAATTTTGAGTTGTGATTTTAATAGACAATTTTAATCTTTTTCATGGCTAACATAGGAGGCCCAATAGATAGTTGTACAAGTAAAGTTTATAGTTCATGTATAAAAAAGCCAGCAAATAGACATGAATTTTTCTTGACGAGTATGAATTTATGGATAGTGCTGAAATGGGAGAAGGGATATGCATATTTCACAACACTCTAATTTCTATGTCTGAAATGACATTTTTGAAAGGAAAAAATAATATAATGTTCAATAGCATATAGACCAGATATAGATATTATTATACACTCACGCACACTTAACCAATCACGAGTGTTTATTAGGGTCACGTGCCAGCCCAACATTTTACGATCATTGGACAGGGACATATTGGACAGTTGCGAATCGTGGCTTTTTTCATGGTTTTTCAACCCTTTTCAGATGTTTTGTCATTTCAAACATTCATGCATTTGTTTGCAACAGCCTCGACGTTAGTAGCTAATATTATTTTTTCGTTAAAATTAGGTCAAATTTCCTTTAAACATACATATTCCATTTCAAATTGTGTTATTCGATTTCAAATTGTGTTATTCCATCTCAAATTGTGTTATTCCATCTCAAATTGTGTTATTCCATTTCAAATTGTGTTATTCTATTCCAAATTGTGTTTTTCTATTTCAAATTATGTTATTCTATTTCAAATTAATATTCGATTTAAACGAATATAAATTAGGTGCAAGGATAACATAATTTTTATTCGAATTTTGACCCTAATAACGCTTCATATAATATATACAGGACTGATTGGATGTATTCTATTTTTCCAGATGCCAAGAAAAATCCTGAGATGTGTTGAATACTTGAAGAAGAATACCCTGGTTAAATATCATCCCACAAAAGGGAATCACACTGTTAATTTCAAGGAGTTATTTTAACTCCCTAACTAAATTTGGGCGTAAATTTTTTTGGAGTTAAAAAACTACTCCACTTCGATATGTATTCAAACATATGTATACTCCACTGGGAGTCAATTTAACTCCACTTAAAGGAGTAAAAATAACCCTAGCACAGGAGTAAAAATAACGGAGTAAATTGTACTGTATATATTTTACTCCAGCGGTTGTTTTTACTCCCAATTAATCGTAGTAGTCCCTACTCAGCCTGTGTAATATAACTCAACCATTACACATATATATTCATAGGAATGCCAAAACTATATTCAGGTTTCTTCAACCTAGAGATATTTGCTATACAAATTCGTAGTGAAAGAGCTGCAATTTCGTGTAAAATCATCACAAGATTTAGCTGGTTGATGCGCTTTTTCTCGAATGTTGCCAAGTCAGATTGATGTATTACCAGTTTATTATATGGCTTTTCAAAATTCTCTATTCTGATTGGTTGACAAGCGGTCCGTAAAAACCCATATCCGGACCGTGGTCCGTATTTTCCGTATCTGGACCGGTGTCCCGGATGTCGTTTATCTGGCGGGAAATTTTTGCTTTGCAAACAGAAAAAATGCTTTTTAAACTTCCAATTGTGCTTTACAGATAAAAATTTCAAACAACCAAATTGTTTTTGATTGAGCATGCATGTCTACCGTACATTATTACTGGCCAGTGAAACTGACGATAGCCGATTTAATTCGCGCGAAAAGCATATGCTCACAGACTCAATTCAGCCATATAATAAACCGATTATTGACCTCGCTTGTTCGGTCTGTACTGCATGTGAAATATCAGACCTCTGTTTTTGCTAAAAAACCTCGGTCTGATATTTCACAGTACAGACCTCACGCTCGGTCAATAAGCCGTTAATATCGGCTTCTTGTTGTTCAATCGCACGCGGCGATCGAATGTAGCCAGAATTGTCAGCGAGTTTTTCTCGTCAAAATTCAGTCTAACCGTCTTTTCCGGTAAGTGTTCAGAAATCATATTTTCAGTGATTTGAAGAAAAGTATTAACTTTTGCATTGATACCAGAGGTGCTAAAGACGGGGGGACCAATTATAGTTCGCCAATAAACCATCGAACTGTTCTAACTGCTGCTGCTGCTCACCTAGCTACTGCTCACCTTGATTTTAACCGTTTTACCTTTTTGTGCCTCTCTCCTCCGCAGAGCCTCCTTAAGTATTTACAAATAACTTACATGGAGTTTCCTGAATAAAAGTGAGCGCGCGTGGAGTGATGGGAAGATTCGTCCCATCACTCCTTGCGCGCTCACTTTTCCCTCACTAGGAACTTCATGTAAGCCTCTGCGGAGGAGAGCTCTCTAGTATTAGTATTGTCTATTGAGATACATTTCACTACACTTTACATGGCGGATCTGGGAGCTATATGACATGTGGATTTCCAATGAATAACGTTGTGATCCGACGTTGAAAGTGGGGCTAGGGTTTCTGGGGTCTCATAACAGTCAGCCATATCAGTAAATATTAAATCCAGTATATTTGTGTTTCTAGTAGGTTGCACTACAATTTATTTAAGAGGTATAACTGGTGACATTCCAGGTATAACTGGTGACGTCGATGGTGTACGGACGTGTATTTTGTGCTCCGTTACTTCAACTTAAATGAATGTTACAAATCACAAGTATTTGATATATTGAACTGCTATAGAGTTCAAGATATTGAACTGCTAGAGTTCTTATGAGTTGTGTTCGGGCGGGTTGGAGCCTTGTATGTGAGTATTGTATGTATATTGTGATTTGAGGACAAACATGTCGGCAAATCTAAGATTGTCTTGGATTGGTGATCATGACAGCTTGAAGGAATTCGTAAGGGACAGTCTTATCCTACAGGGAACGTGGTCATCGCCTAAACCTCGGCGAAGTCATGCTTCATGACCTTCCTACTGCAGCGGGACAAGCGCAGTCAAGGGTTCAATTTGATAGTGCACAGGACATTGAAAACCTTAAAACTGAACAAACGATAAAAAGCGAGACTGTTCGCTCGTTGACTGAATCCGTTGAGCGGCTTGCCTCAATAGTAGCTGAAATCCAAACAAATGTGAAATCTGAGGCGCAGGATCCATGTGATAAGTGCAAAAATGAATTTTTGCCTGGAAAACATGTTGGGATAAAGTACTCACAAACACCTACTAGCTGTGATAATGCCATTGTTTTAGAACAAGCAAACCTAGACATATTCCTAAATGTTTTATAGTGCTGAACGCCAGATCGCCAGTTAAGTCTGATGCTTATCCTGCAATCTATGCTGAACTTAATAGCAACAACCTTGATCTCTGTTTTATATCTGAAACGTGGCTTCATTCAGCTATACCAAGTTCACTGATTTGCCCTCCTGGTTACGGTATTGTCAGGAAAGATCGACAGACTAGGATGCACGTGGAGGTGGAGTAGCGATACTTTGTAGGAATGATTGGAGAATGGAAAACATACTAGAAGTAGAAAATATGTTCGAATGCATTTGGATGAAAATAATAACTAAAAACTCTGTTTATAGTGTTGCAGCAATTTATCATCCCCCAGGCAAGTATGGCTATGACGCCAAAGAATTGATAGACTATTTGATTGATTCTTGTGAGCAAATTTTATTGCGTGATCCAAATGTGAATATTATTATTGCTGGAGATATAAACAAACTAAATATTCATGATCTACTTAGTCTGCAATCCCTTATTCAAATGGTCAAAACACCTACGAGATGCAACAATATTCTAGATGTCTTTATAACTAACGTTCCGCATTATTGGAAAAAAGTACAAGTGAGAAAAGGTCTATTAAGATCTGATCATAACATAACATTTCAGAAAGATGCTATAAAAGCAGAAAGAACAAATTTGTTCTTCAGAGATGTGCGAGACCATAGAAAACAAAGAATGGTTTAATGATTTAGACCCTGTTGACTGGACTAAAATAATAAACGAGGAGCTTTCCTCTGATGAGATGGCTGCTCAATTTTGTGAAACTCTATGGCCTAAATTTGAAGAGAAAGCAAGCAATGAGAACGAATGATGAGGAGACAATTACTCGTTTGCAGAATCAAATTAATCGTCTTATCCACTCCCACCAGGTTAATGCTGTTAAAAATGAGAAAAATGGATCTAAGAAATGGTGGAGTAAAGTTAACAGTATGACTGGAAGAAAAGGAAACACTTTACCAGTTAGTTCTATAATAGAGCCAAGTGTAATAAACACTTACTTTCAAGGCATAAATACTGACCCTGAATACACTGCTCCCCAGTTGCTGTCGATCCCTAAGGACACCAGAATTCCCTCGCTTTCATTAGACATGGTGCATAATTTTTTGCGAAAAGTGAAACGCACAACATCCGGACCTGATGACATACCATACTGGTTTTGGAAGACATACGCAGTGATATTGACTCCTGTTATAACAGGAATATTTAATACTTCTGTGAAGAGTGGGAAGACTCCGAATGTTTGGAAAAGAGCTGATGTGATACCCAGTCCAAAAGAAAACTCAATTAGTTCCTGTTCCCAACTTAGACCTATCTCATTAACAGATATCATCATGCGCCTATTTGAGAAATGTATCAAAGTGAAGTTGCCGATACAGTGTATAATTATATTGGGGATGATCAATTTGCATATAAAAAAGGGCATAATTCTACATGGCCCTAATAAAATATCAACATACGTGGTTAAAAAGCCTTGATGAAGGTGCTAAATCAGTTAGAGTAATCTCATTTGACTTTAGTAAAGCATTTGATAGTGTCCCGCATGATATTTTGTTTAATAAAATAAAGAAAATACCCATTAATCCATATATTATAAACTGGATGATTGACTTTTTGAACAACCGCAGACAGAGAGTGAAAGTCGATGGTGTCACAACTGAATTTCTTGACAATCGTGGCGTACCCCAGGTTACTGTACTTGGACCTGTAATGTTTACTATAATGGTCAATGATATCAAGGTGGTGAATCTCTCCAATGGTTTATCTAAATTTGCTGATGATATTGCAATAATAGTACCAGTTTATGATTACGAAGATTCAGCTGGGGATGAAGTGGAAAACATGAAACTATGGTCAAACGAGAATAGAATGTCTTTAAACATGGAGAAAACCTATGAAATGATAGTTCGCGGGAAAATGTCTACTCCCCTTCCTGATCACATTCCATCCATAAAACGGAAAGAATGGCTCAAATTATTGGGTGTCACGATGGAAGACATACCTGGAAAATGGGGTCTTTTCACCTTTGCAGCCGAAGTTTGGGGCCGGAGCATCGTACAACAAATACGTAAGTCAGATATTGATAAGTTTGTCAATCGTGCCTATAGAAATAGCTATACAAGCAACAGATCAGATTTTAAAGCAACAATATCGAACAGAGACAAGAAATTATGGTCAAGAATTATAAATGATGATAAGAATGCACACAATCTTTTACCTAGTAAGTTAAATCGACCTTTAAGACGGAGAGGTCATGACTTTGAACTACCAATTGTATAAATAGATGTCTTTTCAATTTTATATAAACTATCATCTATATTCTTATACCTATAGAATTTAAAGTACTAAAAAAATTATGTAAATAATTTGACAATCCTTATGATATCAACAATATTTATATTAAATTAAGCATAGTTTTTCACCCCATGATAATTTTTTTTAGGAAATAAGAATATTTAATTTCTGCCAGGCATATTAGTTATTTTATGCATAATTAGCAATTTACCTGGGGTGGTGCATGGTCATTTTCTTGTAAAATATTTACTTAAGACAAATTTTTTCTTGCAATGACCACCCCTAAAAGCAACCCTTCTAAACACTATAAGCACTGCAGAAAGACTATCGCTTTTTGTTTTCTGAAGTTAGAGCTATGTCGACACTGCCATTTCAGGGCGGGGTCATTTTCAGGACTTTCGTCCCGGATTCAGGTTTTGGCACATATGCCATGTTGACCGCCATGGTCATTTTACCCTAAAACAGTTGAGATTACCTGTGCTAAATGAAACGCATACAAACTCATATACAGGTCCTAGACTAAAATGCAATGTATCCCGCCCGGGCAATAAGTGAAAAATTGTTGCCCGACCGGCTACGTACATAAATAAACAAAATGGCGGCACAAATTTATACTATTTAAACTACTGTTTTCTTGGCTTTGTGTTAAAATAAAGAATGTAAAAGAGAATAAAAATACATAACAGGCAACAGGATATGCTGCTGAAACCATTTAAGTAGGTTTTTTAAATTTTAAACTCGTTTACGCTATAGAGTTTTTGTCATGAAATACAAATATTGTTGTATGAATGTTGTTCAATGTTGATATTTGTTTCGTCGCTATATAACAAAACACTTAACGTCTTTTCCCTCGAGAAATAGTTAGTTTTGTTTTCCCTCGAATCTCAATGTTTCCCTCGACTTCGTCTCGGGAAACATTGAGATTCTCGGGAAAACAAAACTATTTCCCTCGGGTGCAGACATTAAGTGTATATTATTATTATTATATTACAATGTCTCTTTAACCGTTTCTGTTGGAAACCGTTACTGGCCGGATTGAAATCACCTCCTAGAATAATAGTGTGTGGGCTTTCTACACAGAGCTTGTCATAACAATTATGACCAGTTCATGTTCTTTAGCAAACAGGCGTATTTCATCTTTTAGGGGAAAGGGACATCACGTTCGATAAAGTTAGGGAAGGAACGAAGAAATCTGTTATTTCATTAGTGGGGGAGTTATTCCCATTTCGATGATATTTCCTAAATTTACTTGACTCCTGTCTGTAGGTTATATATATACTCTTGCAGGTATTTCTTTGGACGAGTTTGTTGGTATACAGTTTTGAGGTACTGATGGTATACAATATGATCGCCCGACGCCTAGGTGCATGGGTTATTTGCACGCACTCATTGTTTAAGTTGTTTGGTGGTCTAGATATATAGGGTATCCTGATAAAACAGACGACCTTTCGCTCATTTACTTCATTTAGGGTTGGTATTAGGAATTGTAGCGCCGATAGGGTATTTCTCTAAAAGTGCCAAGGGCGGGGTGGATAGGTTTGGACGCTCATTGACGGTATTGACGACGAACTACTGACTACGTTTGAAATAGTTTTTTGTTATATGTTTAACAAATATAAAACATTTTCCGTGTTGATATACAGTTATATCAACACGAGTGGAAATTGGGAAAACGAGAAATTGTGTGGAAACACGAAGGGCGGAGTGTTTTCATACAATTTCGAGTTTTCCCAACTTCCACGAGTGTTGATATAACTATATATCAATACGAAAAAAATGTTTTATATTTGTTTTATAATATAGCAATGTCAAAAGCCCGAAGAATAAGAAAAATTTCCGTGTTTACAAGCGGCGGAAAATTTCCCGTGTTGACATGGAGTTATATCAACACGGCTCTTAGCCAATCAGCGTTCGGAATTTACAAATGCTATATTATAAATGCAAATACTAAATGCTTTTCATAACAAATTTATCCCAAATATGTTTTATGTGCATGGTTTTGTGTTCAATAAGTTTCACCTTTTAATTTTCATCATTTTTTTTACAAAGATACTCTCCAACCTGCAACGCTGCGTAGTCAGTTTCGGTGCTATGTTCTTGATTCTGTTTTACAACACAAGAATGTGATTTTTACGCTGTGGCCAAGGTCGCTACGGTGAAAAGTATGCTCTTCATGGGGATATGTAAATGTTGTCTGCCTCAGTTAAACAATGCAAAAACAAACTGTCAACCGTATTCCGTACCCGTTGTTCGCTATCGTTCGTATCTCTGGTTTTTATCACACTAATCGTTGGCTTGCCCTCAGAAGTCATTATTGGTTTTGATAATATCACATGGTGCGAGGTATAGTGGTCTCGCTGGTCTGAAAATCGAAAAACCAGTCAAGAGTTCCAGAATCTCTGGTTTTAAATTTCACTAGTTGGCGAAGGTAATACTTGTGCTGTATCCTTGGATTTAAATCCTGTTGTAGTGGGATTAAAATCACCAGTTATTATAACAAGAGCGTTTGGTTCATTGGTTGCATGGGCATAATCACGTCAAGATTCGTTTGTATGTGATCCTTTAAAATAGTATTCTGAGGTTGTCCATTTCTAGTTGAATTACATATAACAACCAAAATAATTTATGTAATTAGCCATTCCGAAGTTGATGAGAGGACTGGGGACGAATGTTAAAAAGTGCCCAAATTAAGAAATGAACCAAATCGCTAAAAAGACCACCTCAAAATTAGTAAGAATACAAAGTTTGAAGACATTTACACGAATACCCTTCGAATAATAAGCTTTCGAAAATCGCGATATTTACTATGAAATGTACTGTAATTTTGTTTTTTGGGACAAAACAATCTTTTAACCAGTAATTTCACAATTTCCGAAAGCTTATTATTCGAAGGGTATTCATGTAAACGTCTTCAAACTTTGTATACTTATACTAATATTGAGGTGGTCTTTTTATGCTTCAGTCGTTTGAAACCACGGGCCCCCACCCCCGGGACATAGCGGGGAAGTTAACACTGACCAAGTGTTAAAAAACATTAATTTCCCCGCCCCTGGGACTGGGGCAAGCTGTTCTCTTAAAACCCCGTACAGCCGGGCTTAAGTATACCTAAACTATAAATACAAGACAAATTCCGCATCATGCATGCATTTGAGTTACCGGTTTTCCGCAACTTCCAGATTGAATTTCCGTCAAGTATTCGACGTCGGTGTTTAAATATTGTATAGAGCTATCAATTACATGGCCCTACAGATTAGTCACCAAGTCTACCTCAGCTTGCTGTGAGTTTTTAAGGAGCGAATTAAGAAAAACTGAGATCTGAAAACGATAGAGCAAAATGTTTAATAAGCGAAAAACCGTTAAGCTGCCCGTGTTTTTTCTGACGCGCAGTGCATTTTACTATATTATTCTAACAATGGAAAAGGCGATGCCTGATGCTTATTGAATATTAACAGCAACGGATGGCTGACTGACGATTAAGTATAAAATATAAAGTTTCAAACGCACGTAACTGTTGAACAAGTTGAACAAACATACATAACAGAAAATTTCGATGTTCCAACACTTCATCGTTTATTTCCATTGCTTCGCGCTGTTCGTATTGTTGATGCCGGTCAACCTGAAGACGTTTAGTTGGTTGTCGTCCTCTAGTGATGCGTCTGGTGGTTTTGGTTCACCTTCCGAATCGCTACTTGACTCATAGTTGTCGGCCTGGTCATCTGACTCTGCAGTTTCCCATGACAGGACTTGTTGTGGGGCTGGCTCCAGTTCGTTAAAATGCCTTTGTTTCACACGTCCGGTAGGGTTATTTTCCTCTTGCAGCTTGTAAGTGTTGCCGTGGCGCTCTAATACTATAAATCGTTTACTCTTCAAATCTGCCAGCTTCTTACCGCCTAGTTTGTTCCGTTCTGTAGCTGTGAGACAAGTTCGAACTCCTTCCCCAATCTCGAATGGCCGTTTCATTGTCGTTTTTGTTCTCTTCTTCCGTTTGTCCTGTTCCACAGAAATCTTGCGCTTCACCAGTTGAAAAACATCATCCAACTTCTTGGCATCAGATCGAGCCTGAGCTGCGACTCCACCCCGTTTCACGTCTTCCGGTCTCCATTCTTCATCTGAGCCGGCAGAATCTTCAGGTAGGAAGGATGCTTCCGGTCGTCTCGCTTGTTGTTTGAAAACCAGTTCGTGCGGTGATATCCCGGTGGTCCTGTTTGCTGAAGTGTTACGGGCAAACGTCACTGCGTGCATCGCCCTTGGCCAACTTGCGGGGTTCCTATTACATACCGCTCTAATGTTAGCCAAGAGCTGGTTTTGTCGCTCAACTTGTGCTTGTGACTGCGGATGCTCGGGACTTCCTAGCGCATGTTCGATGCCAAGTTCCTTGCACGTAGCTTCAAAGACGGTCGCAGGTCACTTCGGGTATGTCGAACTGAGTTATCCATTGATCTATTAACACACGAACTGCTGTCTCTGCCGAATTATCTGACGCTGCGACCAACTTAACATAACGTGTTAATACATCCTGTGTGGCAAGGACATATGTGAAGCCTTCTGGGACTGACGCTTGAACGGGACCAACGAAATCGATTTGAATGCGTTGGAACGTTTGTTTTGGAATGTCAGTTTTCTCCAGGTTTGCTTTGCCTTTTGAACCATGTTTCACGCGTTGGCAGACATCGCAACCGACAACATACTTTGCTACATCTGACTTCACTCCTGGTCACCATACCATTGCCCGAACACGGTCCCATGTGCGATCACGTCCCATGTGTCCCCCTAGAGGTGAGTCGTGAACTAACTGAAGAAACCTCCGACGTAGACTTTGAGGAAGTACAACAAGGAGATTCTGGTTTTTCCCGAGTGGACTATTTTCCGTTGGTCGACCCTTGTAGTTACGATAACGTAAAATACCGTCTTCCCATACTGTCAATCGATCGCGCGCCTGCCACAAGGCCTTTGCCTCGAGGTTTATTGGGTCCTTCAATTCCCGTTGTTGTTCACAGGCTCTTAGGTATTCCCCTACTGCTGGACAATACATTTGGGCGTCATGGACATCTTTCCTCGCAAGCATGGGAAAGATTCGGTAAGCACTGTCCGATTCAGCCTGACCTACTGGCGAGGTTGCCATACACAGAGTTGCTACCTGCTCTCCATGTCCTACTCTGGACAAATAATCTGCCATTGCCAGTTCTGGTGACTTTCCTGCCCGATATATTGGATCGAATGGATATTGTTGAAGGAATTCCAACTACCTCCCTCGCCTACCGCCAACATCTTTTAAGTCCAGGCTTTCGTTAATCCATGACAGAGCCCGATGATCGGTGATTAGGTCAAAACGCTTTCCCGCAAGGTAAACACGAAATTTCTTTACTGCTAATACTATCGCCTGCAACTCTCTATCTGTGATGCTATAGTTCCTTTCACTAGAGGAAAGAGTGTGATGAAAGAATGCCACTGGATTTAATGGGCCATCTGGTTTAAACCGATCCGGCTGAGCTAATATTGCTCCCGTACCCACTGTCGAAGCATCTGTCACCAATACAAATCGCCTGGTGAAATCCGGAAGGTAAAGTGCTGGAGGTCTCGCAACCTGTTTCTTAAGGCGTTCAAGTGCTGCTGTTGTCTCAGGTTGTGCATTTAAGTAATTTCTTGCCATCTTTGTCTAAAAGATCATATAACGGTTTTGCAATGTCCGCCATCCCTGGAATCCATCGTTGAACGTAGGAGAATGCTCCAAGCGCCTTCCTCAGCATTGTTACCGTTGTTGGTTTTGGGGTATTGATTAGTGCCTCTCTCCGGGCATCGCTGATAGACGACATTCCTTCACCGATAACGTGACCAAGGAATTCAATGCGACGAACACCAAACGTACACTTCTCTGGATTCAGGAGAATTCCCACCTCTTGTAATCTCTGGAGTACTAGCCGGAGACGCTGCATGTGCTCTGTCCATGTTGCTCCCCAAACAAGTATATCGTCTATAGGTAGCAGAGTGCTACCTGCCAGTTCAGAGACCCAAGGGCGCCACTCATCAGCCGCTGAAAGGAGGCTGGTGCTCCTGATAACCCAAACGGGGTTCCTCGACCAGTCCACTGGAACTGACCATCTGGGGTGACAAATCCTGTGAGATCCGAATCTTCTTCTCGAAGTGGCATTTGATAGTAACCACTCTTTAAATCTAAAGATGAGAAATATTTAGCTTCCCCAAGCCTGTCAATTACGTCATCAATACGTGGTATTGGATGATGCTGATCAAAAGACTGAGCATTCAGAGCCCGATATTCAATTGCAAGCCTGATTTGGCCATTCTTTCTACGTGCCACTACAATTGGTGCAGCCCAAGGACTCGTTGACTGTGTGATCAAGCCTTGACCAAGGAGATGCGTTATCTCCTTGTTCACTTCTTCTCGTTCCTTTGGGGATAACCGTCTCGGTCTCATACCAACTGGTCTCGCATCTGGTTTGAGTCTAATACAATGCTTCCCCAAACCCTGGACAGATGCAAGACGGTCACCGGGTTTCCAAAACACATCAGAAAATTCTATCAGAAGTTTGTCAACCTCTTCCTGTTTCCTAGAATCGAGTCTTTCATCTCCTTTATACCCAGTAACTCGGTCAGTTGGTTTAGTTTTCATGTGTTTATCTGGAAAGGTGGTTTCAAACTCTGTGTCTAATAGGGCAATCTTTTCCCCTTTTCGAAGGGTTTCACTAACTTTGTTAACATTGATGACTCGGAGCCATAGTTCTCTATTCATATCTACCCTAACAATACAACATGCAGGGCGAATAGGTTCATCCCCTGGGGAGGTGTCTGATGCTGCCATGTAGTCCAGACCTCTAAATGCTTTGTCTGCCACACATTTAACTAAACATTAGGGCCATTTATACGAAACAAAATAAGACGTGACTTACATAAGAGTGATAAGACGCGACTTAAGTAAGACACGAGTTTGTCGTATAAAAGGTACAAAATTCTTATGTAAGACGCGTCTTGGATAAGACGCGTCTCACATAAGAACAGGTCTTTTAGCATGCCAGAAAGTCGAAACAACGTAAAATTATTAGCCTTGCATATTAAAACAAAAACAACCAAAACAACATTGATAGCTAAAGCAAATAAATGAGACCAAAGTCGTAGAGAACCATTTATGCGATAACTCCGCTTATTCAAGTCGCGTCTTATGTAAGTCGCGACTTATTTTGTCCCGTATAACCTTTACCAGGCTCCACAATAACATCTTCCTTGACTAGTACATCACAAGCTGCGCCCCGATTTATTCCACTTTCAGGACGGTACATGGTCTCAAGTTTCGTACTCTGCCCCGTCTCATGTATGTATAATTGTCCCCTTCTGGGGTCTCAGGTCGCTCTCCCCAAGCGAAATATAAAATCAATCCCTGCTAGATATTTAACAACACAGTTCTTGACCAAAAAGAACTTATGATTTCTTACTACTTGACCACCCACTCTCACTGTTTTTGTAAGGGTACCCACAATATTAATGACGTCACCGCTCACCCCCTGGGGCGGTTTTGTGTCTGGTTCTTTCATTGTCTTACGCTCATCACTTGTTAAGACACTTTCGTCCACTAAATTGACTTCAACCCCAGTGTCCAGTAATAAACTGACCTCCTTGCTGCCAATACCCCCAACGGGCACGTACAAAAGGGCTACGTTTTAACACCCCCCTTAAATGTTTAATCGTTTCATTTCTCCTTTCATAAGGCCCATCCATTTCAGAGTCCCCTCTACTTAATTTTGTCTGTCTCCCCCGTTGCATCGCTTTCAACTCCTCTAAAGTACCCAGCCCATCATCGGTCTGCTGACAGGGTTTTTTCTTTGACTCTTTAGTGGGTACTGGTGGTATGGGACTTGTCCCGCAACCGCCACCCTCGGCTACGGGTTTGGGCGAAAATCCTGGTCAGCAGGTTGTTCCCCCTCTGGTTGTTGAACTCTGCCCGCCCGAGGTTTTTGCCGTCTTGGGGTCTAGGAGGGATTATATTTACGCCTATCTGGGCAGACCTTCCACCCATAGGCGTACGGGACGGGGGGCAGCTGCCCTCCCCCCCAAAAAAAAAAGATTACAAAGTCGAAAAGTCGGGCAAATGTTCAACATAAGTCGGGCGAAGAGTGGGAAATTAAAAAGTAGTCAAAGCAATAAAATCTCTCTTAATAATAACCCCAGTTTGTTGGGCAAACAATGCCAGTTGGGCAATATTCGCTTCACAGTCGGGCAATATTGGGTTATTATAAAAATAAATGGGACAAATTCTGTCAATTTTGCGGGAATTTATGTCAATTTTGTGATGTTTGGAAAATTTGTTTGATGTTCAGAAAAATTTTGGTATGTCCGAAAAAATTTTGGACCCCTAAAATGGTACAGTGACCGAAATTTTTTGGCGACGGGGGGGGAAGGTCGCTAAAATTTATTGTTCCAGGGAAAAAAATTTTCGGCACTGCTCGGGCACAATCCGAAAAAGTCGGGCAAATTTGTTTCCGCCCCCCTAATTTTTTCCTTCCGGTACGCCCATGTTCCACCCCCCGGGATGGTTGGTGATATTGCAATAATGACAACGCCAAAACTTGCTTGGAGTATTTCCACAACGACCTTGCTAAGGTGGTCTGGGTGGAGACGGTCTCTTTTGCTGTAGGGCTGCGACAACCGCTTTGCTAATCATGGACTCAAGTTCCGTCTGATCAGGGGGGGATAGTTGGGCTACAGTAGCCCCTGACTTGAGGAGATCCCCCACTTCTCTTGCCCTTTTTGCAATACCAATAATTACTACAGAATCTTTTAATTTCCCAGTGTCATCGAGAATTCCTTTATCTAATATACTCTCTCTAGCCCGTATATCACGTATAGAGTCACGAAATTTCTCAGCTAACAATCGAGATTTCACCTTTGCGTCACGAAATTCAGAGTCTCGGTATGCATTATCGTATGTTACTTCAAGACGGTTATAGTAATCATCAAATTTCTCACCTGGCTGTTGAGATATATTCACCCAGTCTTGCTGGTAGGCTTCCTGAGATTTTATTTTGGCATATTTCTCGCGTAATGCCTTTAGCAGCTCGATCAGTATCATTCGATTGAACTTCGTTCGGTTGACGAATTGCCCAAACTAGAACACTGTCCGTCAATTGGGCCAAATAACATGTTCGCTCGTCCTTCTGGAGACGACCACCGAACAGGCTTGTTGGTTTCACTCGTATTCAGTGCACGCTTGGCTACCGTCCATGCAGCTTCAAATTTCTCAAATTCGTCTGGCGTGACCTTGGCGCCAAATGTTGCTCTAAGCTTTGTTTCGATCGGTTTTTCGTCCGTTGGCATGTTTGTTTCTTCGTTTATATCGCTGCTTTAGCACGTGGGTTACTTATATATACACTTAGCGCTGCCACCAATGTGATAGTCACTCGTATAAATAACAAACTTTATTTATCATTTACAATTTAAGAGTATAACACAACGTGTTCACGGGTATGACTAAAGGGAGAGTTACCAACCGGAGAGTTATCTCGGAGAGTTATGATTTAGGAGAGTTATGTTCAAACCACGCTCACTTTCCCCAACAACCATACCCAATTTCTTAACTCTCCCGACGTTTCGTTGAACTAACATAACATTCTTAAGGATAACACTAATTTCGAACAGTTAAAAATGCAGAAATCTAATATATATAAAGAAACTGTAAAACGTGAAGACAAAGTTCGTAAACTCCTTAATGAACTCAAGAATGAAGATTATATCTGAACAACAGCATGATGAACTTACGCCCATTGGCTCTCGGCCAGGTATTCTATATGGTTTACCTAAAGTTCATAAACCTAATTTTCCTTTAAGGCCTATTATCTCTGCTATAGGAACTCATGCTTACAAACTTGCTAAGTTTCTTGTACCACTTCTCCGTCCTTTTTCCACTAATTCTTACACTATTTCTGATACATTTATGTTTGTTAAGGAATTACGTGAGCTGCAGATTAATACTAATAATGTTGTAATGGCTAGCTTTGATGTTAAGTCACTTTTTACTAACATACCTTTAGATGAGACTATTAGTATAATTGTTAATAAATGTTTCTATAATACCTCACGCTTTCACGGCTTCACAGTTGATCAATTCACTCGACTTCTTAACTTATCTGTAAAGAATTGTCATTTTCTATTTGATGGTGCTCTTTATATATAGGTTAAAAGCCAAGGGAGAGGTTTTTATTAAACTGTGAAGCCCGCGGCTTTTAACTTGTCTATATACTCATCAGACCATATTCTTTTGAATTTTGGAGGTTTTCTTCATTAAAAATTCAAGCTATATTAATTCAATGAGAGGTCGCAGCAGTTGTGGGACGAAATAACTAGGTGTAACATGCGCATTAACACGCTTTAAAATGTGGTTAAGCATGCGCAGTATATCATTTCACGTCCCACAAGCAAAAGAGCAGATATTACTGTATAAATTCCCTGCACAAGCATGTTTGATGGTTGATCCAGCTAGTCCTCGTGCGCCGAATGATGGATACTCTTACCTAATGGTAGAGTTTTGACGGGCTCTGAGGTACACGGCTGTTGTCTCTTTCTCGACTTAGAGACGTGCAACGTTTTCTAGTCGAAAAGGAGATGTGGGTCTTGAGTTTTCCTGCAAATTCAAGTCCCGAATTCAAGACTCATGCCAGGTCTTGAATTGAAAATGTAAAACCAGGTAACTGGTTATTATTTTTTCGTAATAACCGGGTAGCAGGTTACTACGGAAAAATAATAACCTGGTAGCAGACTAGCAGGTTATTATTTTTCCGTAATAACCTGCTACCCGGTTATTATTTTTCCGTAATAACCTTCAACCCCGTATTTCCCCCGGAGAAATCAAATACCACCGCCTGCTTTTAGATTGAAGGTTATTACGGAGGAGTTAAAAACCGACGAAATACAAAAGAATATGGTCTGATGAGCTTGTAAAAGGTTGACGCCTTGACGGTGTTGCAATGGGTTCACCACTTGGTCCACTTGTTTGCTAACATCTTTCTATCATTCCATGAAAAATCTTGGTTAGCTGACTGCCCTTCTAACTTTAAACCTTTGTTTTATCGTCGTTATGTTGATGATTGTTTTCTGATCTTTCAATCCCGTGATCATGTGCTTCCCTTCCTCTCTTATCTCAATTCCAAACATTCAAATATTCAATTCACACATGAGCTTGAAAACAATTCTTCACTCCCTTTTCTTGATGTTAACGTAATGCGTTCAAACGACTCATTCACGACCTCAGTCCATCACAAATGCACTTCAACGGGCTTATTCGCAAACTTTGATAGCTTTATTCCAATGATGTCAAATGGAAAATTTTAAGAAAACCTTTTCTTCCAATGGTTATCCTAAAGCACTTATAGATAGTTGCATTAAGACATTTCTTGACAGGATTTACAACACCAAGGACGAGGTCCATACATGTTCCAAGAAAATTGTTTACTTTTGCCTTCCTTTCACTGAACATCATGGTCTACATATCCGTTCACAACTTAGTAAAGTTCTTGCTTCTGCTTATCCACATATTTCCATACGTGTTGTTTTCCGTCCCTCTTGTCGCCTTTCTAGTTTCTTTCCATTTAAAGACAGGATTCCCATTGCCCTGAGATCACAT